ATTCTTTCATTGGTCAGTAAAATGCAAGAAAGATATCTAGAAAAAGTCTGCAGGACTCTTAGATAGCTATTGCTTGATCAGAATAAAGTTATCACTATAAATACATCAGAACATTTTTATCTCTGCTTAATGAGAATTCAATCCTTTATACCAGCTAAGAATGGTACAGTTTAGAAACTAAACTTCATCTTTTGTTCCTAAGGATCTTCTGCTAAGTATAATTAAACTGAAGAACATTTGAAGAGTAGCAAGTTTCCATATGGAGTAATATACTAAAAATTGTTCCAAAATCAATTACCCTTATGGATTTCATTTCTGTAGATCCTACATAGGAGATCCGATAATGTTTATAACCCAGGATGTTCTCTTGCCTTACGCAGAAGCTCAGAGCACTCCAACACCAGGCAGAGAGGCAAGGGGCACAAGTCCTACTTCTAGGGACACTGTTAAGATCCTGCTGATGAGAAGGTTGTGCTAAAACATATTCTAATTGACAAAGACCATTTCTAACATAAGAGTGGGTTTGTGGCTCACACCTGTAATCCTAAACACTCTGGAAAGCTGGGGTGGGAGGATCCCTTGAGCCCAGGAGTCTGAGGTTGCAGTGAGCTAGGACGATACCACTGTACTCTAGCCTGGGTGACAAAGCAATTCCATGTCTCAAAAAAACAAAAAGGGGATGGGCTGCTAAGTTCTCCCTCAAACCCAATACCACCCAATATGAACTATCGAGTGTATCATGCAGAAATGTTAAGTGTTTCTCCTTGTCACCTAGTGACCAGCCTAGAGAAGAGGAACGGCTGTGAAATTCCCATGTCCTCTTTGTGATCATACTTGCCCTCTACCCAGCAGGGGAGTAAGAAGAAACCAGGCTCGTGATATAATGAGAAGTTAACAAGGAGGAGTAGAGATACCAGGAAGGGGAGTTGTGTGACCGAGCCCCAGATTTCTGAGTGTGTTCATCAATATGGCATTTAGACTCCTTCTTGGGGACAGGTTCCCACTGGGGATCAGACCACCTATTCCCCATAGCTCTGGGCCCCTGAGCAATATACTTGAAAGCTCCCTACAATGATGTGAGGCCCTCCCCAGTTCAGGGCCCACCTTTCCCTGTTTGACAAAGCTAGGGGAGCAAGCTGCGCGAGGCTGAATGCCCCCCTCCATCTGCCTTGCACCAAACTGAAGGGGAGAATACTGGGCTTGGTGTAGGCAGTGGGTCTTCCTGGGGCACTTCTTCCTCAGCTGTGCCCCGCTCCCAGCAAACTCTCAGCCTAGGTTTACAGTCGGCAGGCTAGAGGGGGACAGGGTCCCAAACATCTTCAGCCTTCAGCTATTACTGGGAGTAGGCACTTCTCTGGCTTGTGCAAATGTTACAGCACCTTTTAACAAGTGTGGTTCTGTCTATGCCCCAGGGGTAGAGTTTGGTCTCCCATCTACCTAGCAGCTTTCCTGAGGAGTGATGATAAGTGAGGCTCTCCTTGGCTTCCGCCTGCTCGTGACTGTGTTTAGTTTAAATTAGATAATATTAACAAATCCTAAATGATTAGCACAGAGTAGACACATAGCAAGGGCTCAATACACAGCAGCTGTTATCACATTATTACGAGGTTGATTACAAAAGTTTTGAGCTGCACAAAAATCAAGAAACATAAAATTTGTGTGGACAGAAACACATGAAGCCCTCTCAGCAACAGTGATAAGCCGGGCATGCTGAAATTTGCATGGGTGAAATCAGAGAGGACGCTGTTGACTGTGTTTCTTAGAAGTGAAATAATGGACCATAACACGGTCTGTCTCAAACTTTCATAGTAACCTACGTATCAATACACACTTCAAGCAGAGTCTTTAAATGTGTCAGAGGGACCTCTTGGATGAGGATTACTCAGCTTAAAGAAGGTGAGTCCAACTACATGAGGAAAAGGGAAAAGCAATGGGACAGGGCCCATCGGCGCCCACCTTCCCTCCTTCCTAGGCACACCACCTGTAAGGGACGTAATGACCCACCAATAAGGTCAATGAGGGGTATTTTAAATGTCTTGGGTCACAGTTTCTACCCACTCTATTATCCAGTGTTGATGTGAATTGTGGCAAAGGTGTGGCTGTGACCTTACAAAGCTGGAGGGCTGGAAGTATGGGCTTACGTGTATGCAGCACTATGTACATTAGTGTATGCTGAAACTGCTCCACAACACCACATGCTCTTTGGGGTTAATGTGTTGAACACGTCAGCTGAGTGACTCCCACTACCAACTGTGCCCCTATCATTATGACATACCCAGGCCTGGGAACCCTGCCTGCGTCCAAGGTGCTGTCACTGTGCCTCTGGGTCCTTCCCTACCTGTTGCTATGTCTGTCAAGTGGCTGGGACCAGCCGATGGGCTCAAGCCATATGTGCTATTTCTGTGCAAGGGATGTGGGTAAGTACATGTCACAGTAAGTCAGACCAGGATATGAGTCAGGTTATGTTATAAAGTGGTAAAGAGAACAGGTCTTCAAAGCATACTGGTAGCACTACGCCAAGCTTTGACTCTATTATGTAGGAGCTATGGTCTGAAAGATGCTTTAATCACCAAGCAAAGGAGAAATGCTAAAAAATGTGGATGATTAGAGACTTCCCAATGAAAGGACATGGATATGGCAGAAGCCAAAATCTAGAGTTTTTCAAATTTAAGAGGTAAAATAAAATATTTACCAGAACCACATATTTCTCCAGCATACTTTGGTCATATATGTGGAAATAGCTCGATACCCACAAATTAGACATGAACTATATTAGATCCCTTAGTGGAAGTCAAGCAGCTATTAGAAGGAAAAGAAGGAATGAAAATAACTGGACATACTGGTATGGCATGACATCCAGCCAGACTGTTACAGCGAAAAATCAAGTTGTAGAAAATGTGCATGGTAATTACATTTCTGTTAAAAGTGTGTTTTTACAATAATGGAAAGCACGTATCCAATGCACTCAATACTAATACGAAGCCAGTAGATGAACTAATACATGCCCACACAAGAGAAAAACTGAATTCAATTCAAGCTGGGGAGAAGGGGCAGGAGGAAGAGAACAGGGGAGGAGGTGGGGGGGTTGGTAGAGTCCCACCTTATGGGCACAATGTAAGGGTATATGGCACACCTCCTGGGTGTGGGACACGACTATAACAGGGACTTTACCTAACTAATGCAAATATTGTAACCTAGTTGTTTGTACCCTCACGTTAATCTGAAATAAAATAAAAATAAAAATAAAAGTGTGTTTGTATGTACATAGGAAAATCTTTAAGGAGCCAGAGAAAACCATTAATAATTGTTATCTGTGACAATGACAGTGTTTTTTTACACCCTTATTCATCATGTGAATCCTTTACAACAAACATCTATGACTTTTATTATAGAAAATAAGATGAACAAAGATACTTATGAGAGATGACTAGTATCAACCTGTTTTTTTCCTATAGTTACAAGGTTCTTAGAAGCCTCCAGGGGCCTGATGGTGTCATGAGCCCTCCACAGCTGCTGAGCCCCTGATAAGACAGCAGAGGCACAGCTGGGCAAGCCCTGGGCTCTCTGCGTGCTGGTGCTTGGGGCTGAGCAGAGTCAGCATTTCTGAAATGCCATGAGAAAGGAGGGCTGATTAGCCTGGGAAGCCTTTTTTCACCCTCGTCACAGTCCTTTTGTGTGGCCTGTGTAACCTGTATAACTGCACTTCTGCTTCATGAGCTCTGGGGAGCTCACTGCCTGGCTCTGACACATGGCTGTGATTCTAGACAGGCCACCACTTGACCCTACCATGCCTGCACTTCACAACACTGTTTTACTGACCTGCTGTTGGAGGGGCGAGGAAGAGTTATTAGGGAAAAGCGACAGAAGCAGAGCCTAGAGGAACCATCCTGTTTCCAGGGCAGGGGAATTACCGACCTGCCTTAGGACTGCAGGTCCCACCCTCACGCCCTCCTAGTCAGGCATTTCCTCTCTCTGGTCTGCCCTGACGACCTCCAGGCCGGAGGACACGCAGCAGCCCCTTCTGTTTAAACCACAGTGCACGGCCTACAACCAGATGTTGCCTCAGCCTTGTTTTCTGAAGGCTGGAGAAGCCCAGATCCAGATGTCATTGTTAGATGCATTTTCTATTCTTCACAGATCTCCTCTGGATGGCTTAGTCGGTCCCTGCCCGAGAGTTTCCTTAGATAATTCCTACTCCTCCTTCAGATCCTACTCCCAGTGTCACGTCCTCAGGAGCCTCTCTCAACACCTCAGGGCCAGGCCAGGACCCCTCTCACGCTGATGGCGCCTAGCACTTATCCCAGTTCTCTTCCATTTATTCCTATGATAATATGATTCATGTCTGTGTTCCTCGTAGAACACCAGACCCTAGACAGCAGAAGCTGCGCCCTTCCTTCTGCCCTGCCTTCTGCTGCAGGCACAGAGTCTGCTACCAAGGAGACCCCAACAAAGACATGCTGGTGGAAGGACACTGTGAGGCAACTGGGTGGGATATGTGCAGGTGCTGGGAGGGGGCAGTGGAGGGCTTTCTGCCTTCCTTGCCCTACCCACCCCCCTTACTTTCTGTCATATGTTTCCAAGTGAATAGCCAGCAAGAAGTATTATCACTTTTTTTTTGAGACAGAATCTCACTTTGTCACCCTCAGTAGAATGCCGTGGCGTCACAGCTCACAGCAACCTCCAGCTCTTGGGCTAAGGTGATTCTCTTGCCTCAGTCTCCTGAGTAGCTGGGACTATAGGCACCTGCCACAACACCCGGCTATTTTTGTTGCAGTTGCCATTGCTATTTTAGCTGGCTGGGGCCTGGTTTAAACCTGTCACCCTCGGTATATGGGACTGGCACCCTACCCCCTGAGCTATAGGCGCCGCCCGTATTATCACTCTTATACTCTAAGATTTATCTGAGGCACATACAAGCAGAAGATGATAGGGTTTAAGGAAATTAACACTGAAGGCCTGGGACAGCACTTGGTGAGGGACGGGGACGCACACTGACTGACCTCGGCTGATGCGCTGCTTCTCCCCAGAGAGGATGCCGGGGCTGTCGATGATGCTGATGCTCTTCAGAACCTGGTTGGGCAGCTGGGAGCACATGAACCTGGAACAGATTAGATGCATCAGAGGCGGGTCAGAGCCAGGGCATCACAGAGTGCTCTCATTGTGGGGTTCCCTGGCCTCTCTGGGCTTACTGATATAGAGTGGGGGCTTGAAGGAGAGTGACAGAGATTAAAGATGCTGAATGAAGCTCTCCATAAAGCAGGGGCTTGAAAGAGACTGACAGTGCTCCAGAGAGTGGACACTGGTCCCCAGGACAAGTGTGGGAGGCTGGACTGGCACCTGCTACCTGCCACCCAATTTCTTCCTATTAGTTCTGATCATAGCTGACATTTATTGAGCACTGAGGTATTTTACCAAAATCGTCTCATGTGATCCTCATCATGTGGAGGAAATTACTGTTACCCTTGGTGAGGCTAGGCTCACTCAGAGCTGGGCCTTAAGCCTAGGTCAACCTGATGCCAAAGCCCATGAGTCTCTCTTTCCTTTATACTGGTCCTTGCCCAAACATCCTGGTCTTCTCTCCTGGGAACTCCATTTCTTCTTCAGGGTGCACTGCCCCCCTGGGTTGGAGGACCCCAGGCTCTCTATATAGGCCCTGCCACTCCCTAGCACAAAAGTTGGAGGCACTGGGGATCCAGCATCCAGCCTGGTGTCCCCCATGGTCTTAGGCTGAGGGAGGGGCAGGCACCTGCAGAGAGCACCCTAAATCTTCCGGGTGCTTAGGAGTCCTGGAGGTACAGTGTGGGGGTAGGGCTGGGAGGGAGGATGAAGGGGCATGCTGGGAAAGCCTTGGCCTGGCATCTCTAAGCTTTCTTTCTTGTCACTTGCTTGCCCGATACCATCTCCTCCTCTGGCTCTGATCCCTTCCTGCTATGGTTCCACTCAGCTGCCCTGGCATCTGTCCTATAGAAGCAGAGTGAAAATCCCAGCCTGTGGGTGAGCATACCCGGGCTCAGGTTCTGCCCAGGCTTTGCCAATGATTTGCTATGGGACCCCGGACAAGGGTTGCTCTGCCCTACCTGCTAGCCTCAGTTTTCTCATGTGAAGATGGAGGATGTTTGGATCGGAGTGTGGCCATGTCCTTATTAGCTTTCAATCTGAAGAACTCTACAAGTGTCAGCAGGAAGTGCTCTGTTACTTCCACCCAGGCAACAGAGCCAGGGTGCACCTTTGTTAGGCACTATATATGTTTTAGAGCAGATTCTGACGAATCTCTCCTTTCTCTGCATCATAAATAGCTGACTTCTGTATCTGTGTGGGCAGAAAGCTAAAAGCTCAATTCTTCCACTCCGTGGAAGTGGTGGGCATGACTCAGAAAGTAAATATGCTGGGAATGCGGGGCAGGGAGGCCTGCCCAGCCTCCACTGCACACATGTGGCCAACACAGCCCCACAAAGGGGATGGCAGGCCTGAGCAGGAGGTGAGATTATTAACAGTTCAACATAACTTTCCTTGGAGAGGCTCAGGACAAGTTTTTCACACATTCTTTCCTATATTTTCAAATTAGTCCTAGAAGATATGAGAAAAGATACTGTGATCCCTTTGCAGATAGGAAAGTTGAAATGCAAAAGGGTTATGACATCTTGAGGTCCCACTGCTAATGCATGGCTGGCTGGAGGCTGCACTCTGGTATTTCTGAAGTCAGTGGGTAGAACCCAACCCCTAAGGTCAGTGGTAAAAATAGCCAAGGTAATTGAAGAGGCGCCCCCTATTTCTGTATGTCTCCTACCACTCCTGTACCCCGACCTTTAAATAAACTCACCACCCAACACTGGGAGAGCGGTTTTGTGAGAATAAAGCTCACAGGGATCCCCAGGCATTCTCTGTGACCTCACAGAGGAAAAATGCCATTACTCAATCCTCAGGGTAGGAATAGCGCTCTAAGCACATCTGTGCCGGACCACGGTCTTGTCAGTGATGATTCAGTCTCAGCCTAGTCCCATTCTTTCTATCAGATGGCTTAAAGCATTTGGCAGTGCTAGCTGAGTTGCACTTATGTGAAACTACTTCACCCAAATTGTTCTATGAAGAGGCCGACCTTTTCTAAAACCACAAGCTCACACTCAGTATCCATTTTTCCAAAACATAAAAACCCTCTCAGGTGAGGCTGACAGAGGGCTTCAAAACTGACACACTGTTCCCTCCCTGCACCTGACACAAGAGCAGAGGCCAAATGTGTTAGCCACAGAATATTATGCAGTGACGTGGGCTGACATCACCACATGACATGCAAGGGCAAAGCAGGGGGCCAAGAACTGTAAGGGGTGGGGAGAAAGAAGGGGAGGGGAGTTTTGGAAGAGATAGCATTCCCCAGGGGGTGGCCCAAAAAGGGGTTGTGTGTGCAGAGCTGGACTCCACTCCATTGAAGATAGCGGCCTAGGGTGGAGGTGACCCAGAGAGCTCAGAGCATGGCAAGCACTCCAGGCCCTCATGGTGCCTGGGCTCCTACTAAGAATTTCACACAAATGTGCTCTTTCTTTTTTTGAGAGAGAGTCTCACTTTGTTACTCTGGGAGTGCCATGGCATCATAGCTCACAGCAACCTCAAACTTGGGCTCAAGCGATCCTCTTGCCTCAACCTCCTGAGTAGCTGAGACTACAGGCGCCTGTCACAACATCCAGCTAGTTTTAGAGACAGGGGTCTTGCTCTTGCTCAGGCTGGTCTTAAACTTCTGAGCTCAGGCAATCTACCTGCTTTGGCCTCCAGAGTGTTAGGATTATAGGTGTGAGCCCCTGCACCTGGCCACACAAATGTGTTCTTAAAAGTTTTCCTGGAATCAGAAGAACACCCTAATCCTGCTCTGACCTGCCTGGAGAGGGAAGGCGCACAGCAAGGTTATCCACTGTGCCTATCACAGGTGGCCTTGGGTCAGGCCAGCCCGGCTGGTGTTTCTGCAGAAACGTTTCCAAGCATAGATTTGCCACCCACCTCTTCCGGGAGGGACTGCTATAAGATGTATCCACATCTTGCTGCCTACGCTTCACATTGAATACACAGGTGTGTGCTGGCTAGAACCAGGAGCCTCACATGGCATTTACAAGGGTCTCCCCACCTGGGGCTGACCTGATCAACAGTGTTTTGTGAAGTAAAAGGAGAGGGAGCGACTAAGATCCTGCGCTGGTCCCTGAAGAGCATCCTCTCTACATGCAAGGAAGGGTCAGGGCACAGAGAAGGGGTAAAGAAACAGCACAGGCTGAAGAGTCTCAGGCACGTGGCTGGGAGCCCTGCCACACAGTCAACAAGGAGTGGCAGGGTTAGGTTATTAAAGTCCCCCTGAACACTAAAAGTCCAACTCAGAGATCAACACTTTAAAACCTAGACTTTTTAAAATGTCAGGAGTACCTTAATATTGATTTTGATTTCTCAATGGAACAGTGATATGTGTAAGTTCCAGTAATAATAAAATAGCACAAATATTTCCTGACCTCATACTGTGGCAGGCACTGTCCTAAGGACTTTCCGTGTACATTAACTCCATCCTTATAACAGCCTTACAGGTAGGGCTGTGAGCTTTCATCTTACAAGGGAGGAGATGGGCCACAGAGGGGTCATATGCCATCACTGGCCAAGTCCCTTGGCTGACAAGTGGTAGAGTTGATTATAGAGCCCTGGTTCTCAACTGCTAGGCTACTACTACCATTGCACGCATTGGAACCACCGTTGTACCTTTGTAACACACAGGGCAACATCGTAAAATAAGGAGTGAGGTGCTGAGCCCTGAACTCTTCCCCCAAGGGCCTTCCTTGTGTGGCTGGCTCTCTATCTAGTGGCACGAGGGCCAGGGCAGGGAGCAGGTAGCAGGGGATCTGGGCTCCCCTTGCTCACTTACTCTGCAACCTTGACCTTGCTTATGTCTCTCTGCACAAGTCTACCATCTGTGAGGACTCCCAGGTTTGTGACTCAGCTCAAATAAACATAAGCTTATAATGGAGATGGTATAGAGCAGTCTCAAAGTACCTCCTTTGACTCTAGGCTACTTTAGTGATGACAGAAAAACCAGAGATGACAGAAAAACCAGAGAGATTATACAAATTCCTAAATTTGCATAGTAAATAGGACACAATCTACAAAAAGCCTTTGACAACTAAACTGCAATACTCATTACTACAGGGTCCTACCACAAATGGCTGATCTAACCTTCCAGTGCCCAGGAGAAATTGAATTTCACAACCAGATTATAGAAAGGACCCTGGTTACCCCTTAGATTGAATCTTATGAAATTACCTTATGAATTGCCAGTCTTCAACTTTTCCTTGTGAAAAGTTGAAGACTGACAATTTCATATGGTTCAACCTAAACATGTACTTTTATATACTCTGGGAGGCCGAAGCAGGCAGACTGATTGAGCTCAGGAGTTAAAGACCAGCCTGAGCAAAGTGAGACTCTGTCTCTACTAAAAATAGAAAACCTAGCAAGGCATTGTGGTGGGCACCTGTAGTCCCAGTTACTTGAGAGGACAAGAGGATCTCTTGAGCCCAAGAGTTTGAGGTTGCTGTTAGCACGACGCCACTGCTCTCTAACTCAGGACAACTGATTGAGATTCTGTCTCAAAAAATAAATATGTAAGTAAATACTTTTACAAACCTCTCCTGACTGCCACAGGGGAAAGTCAGGTGAGATGAAGCAGCTGGGAAGGTCTGCCTGAGTGTAGGGGACAGAGCTGGCTTTCTGGAATATTAGGATCAGAGAGATACAGTCAGGCTGGCTCATGCCTACAATTCTAGCATTATGGAGATTGAGGTGGGAGGATTGCTTGAGCTCAAGAGTTTGAGACCAGCCTGAGCAAGAATGATACCCCATCTCTACTAAAGGTAGAAAAACTAGCCAGGTGTTATGGCTGGTGTCTGTAGGTCCCAGCTACTGAGAAGGCTAAAGAAGAAGGATCACTTGAACCCAGGAGTTGGAGGTTGTTTGAGCTAGGCTGATGTCATGGCACTCTAGCCTGGGCAACACAGTGAGACTCAGTCTCAAAAAAAAGCAGCATACTGGCGAATGCCATTCAAGAACATTGACCAGGGAGCCACCATAAACCCTGAGGTT